TCAGTTTCCTAGATATGAAGATATATAATTGTAGAACATCTTTATTATTATATTATAATATTACTTCTTCTATTACATAGTCAGAGAAATCAGTCTTAATAACTGTTTTATAATCAGAATTGAATATTATCAGTAGAGAGATATTAATGAACATCTTCTTCATCTGTATAAATACAGCTTTAGTATTCAGTGATCATTGAAATACTGAGTCTTTCTTAGTGAGATCTGTAAGTAGACTGGCCGCCGGGACCATGAATTTCACATTTGATTTCATTTGATCTGGTCTCATACATTTCTTGGCGTGAATCCCGCTGGGACTAATCATTAAATAAACATGCAAAGTGACTATATATCAGATCTCAAAATGAAACCATGACTTGAAAAAAATGAGAAAGTGATCTCATTTGATCTCATTTAGTTTCATTGTTAGCATAAAGTTACTATTTTTAGACATTTTAAGGTTTTTTTTAGACTATTTTTAATTTTTTAAAAAGTAACACTTTTTGATAACACTCAAATGAGATTTAAAGCTATTTAAAGCAATAAAAATAATTTAAATTGAGAAGTGAAAATCATGGTCTCATTTGAAAAATGTGACAAGAGTAGACAGTAAGTCTCACTGAGACAGTATGAAACTACTATCTAATGTTAGAACCGTGTAATGAAATCTGTCGAATTGACAATGAGACTATCAAAAATTCTGATCCTAGTCCCAGACACAGTCACACGGTCAGTCTATCTGTAAGTGATCTCATAATATCTGAGAAGTTTCATATAAGTCACTGATAGAAGTTAGTAAATTTAATGAAGCTTTATACATCTTTCACAGTATGTAAAGCTTCTTATTTAAGAATGACAGAGATCTTCTCAGAATTTATTTGAATTTTCTTATCAGCTTCTATAATGAAATCTAAGTATTTAGTACTCTTAACTTTGAAATCATACTTATTAATATCAATTAATAGTTCTGCTTCTTGTAGTTGTTATAATACTCTTTGCACATACTCTTGATACTCTTTTCTGAATTTATCAGTGAAGATAAGAATATCATCTAGATAAGCAGATACAAACTTATCAAGAAAATCTTAAAGTGCTCAGTTGATATACTTCTGAAATATACTGAGAATATTAGCCAGTTCAAAGAGTCTGACTATTTATTCAAAGAGATTATAATGTGTTCAGAATACTATAAGCTATTCATCTTCTTCAGTGATACAAATCTTATGAAACACAGTAATGATATCTAGCTTTATAAATTATTAAGCTTATCTGATCTGTGCTAGAGTTTCATTGATAAGAGATAAGAGATATCAATCTTTCTTTATTAATCTGTTCAGACCTCAGTAGTTCACACAGAATTAAAGTTCTTTATCTGACTTCTTTACAAAGAGAATAGAAGCTGCAGTGAAATAGTTATTAATACATATAAATCTCTTATTTAACAGATCATTGAGTATCTTCTGAAGAAGAAGAAGTTCATCTTAAGACATATTATAAAGAGAGCTTCACAGTGACTTGAGATTCTTATCATTCTTCTTTTCTAACTTGATATTGTGATTCACTTCTTAGTCTTATACAGAAGATATATTTATAATATTATCTTGTCAGAAGACATCTAAATATTCATGATATTATTAAGAGAGTTTTATATAAGAATCTGTTATTATAGTATAGAATAACTTTTCTAGAGCTTTCTTGATAGTGATCAGACTAGTAGAATAGATTGATATATAGTTCTACTATCAGTGACTTTGTCAGTGACTCTGTCAGAAGTTTTAATGACTTCTTTTTCAGAGTATTTCATAAGTGTTGACAGAGATCTGTGTCAGATTCATAGTCTTGTGAATATCATCTTCATGAATTCTATTATTATTAGAGAATATTAAACTTCTGTTTCAAGTATTCAATAAGATATTTTATTCAGATAGTCAGACAAGTTCTAATATCATATTATAATCAAGATTATCAACTTTATATATGTAGATATCTTCATGCTGATATTCTCTGATATCTATATTTAGTTTCATTATATATTAAATGCAAACATCTTTTAAATCATTGAATTCTGCAAGAAGTCAGAGTTTTGATAAGAGAATACACTGAAGGTTATAATATCTTATAACTGAAGATTTTATCATTGTATAGTGATATAGACTGCTGTCTATTATAAGTTTCATATTATACATGTTATCAATCACAGTAGATACAAGAATTGCATTCATTGCTATTTTCTCTTCAAATTATTGTTATCTGACCTCTTCAAGCTTCTGTTTGCAAATTTGAACAGAAGCTAATCTTTTTCCTGTTTCATTAAGACATTCTCATAGTTATCTTTCAAATCTTTCTCTAATGTAATATAGTTGATGCAGACAGATGTTAATTCATTCTTTAAGTAAGAAGATACATAGACTGATCAGCAGTTAAAAGTAATATATTCTGATTGATTACAGTTAATATATACTTCATGTTAATATTGATCAGAGACTTCTTTGAGAGTGATCTCAGAAACTCAGAAGTCTGTTAAAACAGTGAAAACTCTTACTTATATATAGATATTTAAATCTATTCAGTTCATAATATCTACATCATTGCTGTTCTTCAGCACAAGTGTATAAGTTACTGAGATATAATATCTTCTGTCACTATTCTGTATACTCTTGAGCTTGATAAGATAATTATTCAATATCTGAAGCTGTGTGTAGAAGTCTTTATAAGTCTGATCTTTATCTACACTTATAAGAGTCTGTAAGAGTTTAAAAGTCAATATCTTCTTAAGCATACTAATCTTTATTCAATTCTCTCAAGATTAATCACTTACTTTTAAAATCTTGATGTTGAAGTTAGAGATAAATGTTGTAAGAGAAGTATTTCTCTGTCAGATACTCTGTAATCAATCTAACATCTTCTATTGCATGACAGTGTCTCAGAATAGAATATCAAGATATTTCATGATATTATCAGATATTCACAACACTTGTTCACATGCTTTTATTCATGAATGAAACTTCTGTTTTATATGATTCTTCAATTATTTATTAATATATCAATCTTGATTAATTAATAAACTGATGACATCTTCATCTATACTCAGTTTTATAAGCATTTCCATTCTTCATAATGAGTAGAGAGTGAGATTAAAAGTATTGAAATATACAGAAGCATCTAAGCATTCTTTTAGTGCTTTTATATTCAATTCTATAGATGTTGAAATTGCATGAGTTAATTGTTAAATCTCTTTATATTGAAGGTACTGAGTTGCATGCATATCTGCTATCTATTGTTATTATAATTTCAACATTACTCAGAGTCACTGTGACATTATATCTATACTCACATTCAAGAGTTTCATATTATCATTAGACATGATTATATCAATTGTCAGATATGTGATTGTATTCTCATACATCTAAGTGTCAGAACTCTCAGATCTTTTACTTATATTCTCTTATAAGATCTTATTACAGAGTCAGAGTGACTGATAAGTAAGCTTCTATCTGAGAACTCAGTATCTGCTTAACTGTGTTTCTCTTACATATTGTTACACATTCAGATATCTCTTGATAAATAATTATTTCTAATGAGAAGATAATATGTGAATAATCATTTTTAATAAGAAGATGATGAACATTTTTCTAGTGTAAAAGATCTACACTGAATAGATCAGTATAATATTAATAGATCTTATATAATAAAGAGAAAAATGTTAGAGAAGAAAAGAAAGAGAAAGTATGAGAATTGATAATCAGAGTGAATATTTATACATGTATGTAATAATGTATACAGTGAAGCTTGAGAGCGGAAGAATCTATACATGTTTATAATAGCTGAGAATCAGTGATTGAGAATGACTGAGAATCAGAGTGTACATCTTCATAGCGGCTGAGAATCAGTGATCAAGAATGACTGAGAATTGAAGTGTATGTATTTAAGAGTGAAGTGAAAGAATCTATGAAGTGTGACAGAATAGTCTATATAATTGATCGGGCGCAGCCTGTCACAGATACTTACTGAATGAACTGAGAGCACTGACTCTTAAATCTGAAGATTTATAACGTGGCGGAACCGAAGCGGTGGCTAGTCGGCGGCGTCACATAGAGGTAGTTGTTTTGAGAAGCCGTATGAGTGAGCTTGACTATCTTGCTTGAATAGCGAGCTTGTAGGCTACAGGGTTATTGCAAGAATATCACAGATATAGTACTTAGTATACTAAGAAGATTGTATGAGGCACACAGTAACTCTTGTATATATTTCAGTAGAAGAAAAAGACAAATCACTGACTTCTTTGATGAGAAGCCAGCATCTAGCTATTCTATATAGACAATGAGTGAATACTCTTCTCTTATTTCATAAGCAAGAATAGCCAGAGTGATACCTCAGCAGTGTCTCATTATTAAGAAAGAGTAATCTACTGATCTTGTATAGAAGCAGAATTCTTATATTCATTAATCAGATCTTTCTATAATATATCTGAATGATGTTATAGAGTGATTGAAAACTGGTTCAGATAGAATGAAATCATCTGTATAAAAGTAATGAGTTATGTGAAACTGCAGCAGAGTCTTGATACAGCTGAGAGTATGATAATACTCTTCTCTTTAAGAATATAGTCTCAATACTCTTAAGATTACTGAATTAGAAATTATCTTTGTTGTATAGTAATGATTATTAACTGATTTAACAGTGCATGTGCTGCACATGATATAAAGAAATAGATGAGTTTTTCTACTGACTGTGTAGATCTTTCTTTCTCATCTTTATTCAAATCAAACATGTGATAAGTGAGTTTCTTATATATCAATTTAAAATGTGAAAAATGTAGTTAATAAGTGACTTACAGATCTTTCAATATATTCTGTTCTATATATGAAATTTTCTGTAAAAGTAATGTGTTTTTAGAGACAAAGCTAACAGTAGTGACAGGATTTTTCAAAAAGATTCTTCTCTCTGTGATATAATTTTCTTCTCTTCTTCTCATCTGTAATAGTGAGTGCATGAGAGTATCATTCTTGAAGAACAGTAGAGAGCTTATTCTGATGTTTTCTAGTGAATAAATGTCTTTGTGATGTGGCAGCAGCCTCTGTGACCATCAAGAAAGTCAGGTTGAAGGCAGAGGCAGCAGTGTCAATGAGCCGTGAAAGCACTGCTCTTATTATCACATCTTCTTCTTCTCCTGCTTTCTTTGCAGCTGTGGCAGTAGTCACTGTATCTAGCAGTAGAGTGTCATCTCTTCTGCTGATCAGTTCATCTGTGTTCAGTCTGTTTCTCACTCTCTTCATCACTGTTATAATGTCATCTTCTCTCTCAGTCAATACAGTGATGTATAACCCTGTGTGATCATTTGAAGAGAAACTCAGAAAGAGCTTGATTTCAGAAACAGTGACTCTAAGAAGCTTAATTCATAGTTTCTCTTTCACAGCATATCTGAGTTCTACTTGAAATACTGCTGAGTTGAGTCTGCAGAGTTCTGTAGTCTCTTTATCTTCTCTCTGTGAAGAGGCTCTGATATGATCTCTGACTGACACTGCTACTTATCTATGCTGTGTTAAGCAGCTGAAGAAGAGAGAGATTCTGTGCATTTATTTCTTCTCTCACTCTCATTATTTTCATTGTATCTGCAACAATAACTTCTATCTCTCTATAAGTATTATCTACTCTACAAGAAGACATTGTGTCAGCTCTGATAAGAAGCTCAGATACTCAAGTAGTATAGAGTGAGAATCTCAGAGCTTTAAGTATTGATGAATTTTATTAAGACTGAAGAGATCTCTCTTACTTATTTATAAAAGAAGATAAAAGTATAAGTCTCTGAGATGAAAAAACATCTCAGAATAACTGACTCTAAGAAGAAATCAGTCAGTATCACTGTTAGAAGCACTGTGAAGATTAATCACTAATTGAAGAGAATCTCACTTCAATTAAAGCAGATGACTGAGATACTTTATAAGTTAATAAGTTAATACTTTCAGTATCTCTTATACTCTTCTACAGCATGCTTCTCTGCAGTGCTGCAGTACTAACTTCTTAATAGATAAAGATGCTAGTACTGAAGACTTTAACAGTGAAGAATGAGTTTAATAAGAATGTAATTATTGATAAGTAGGCTCTGAGATTCTCTCTTTTTACTTTTTCAGCAGGCTGCAGCTCTATTAGAATAGCAGCAGTCTGTAGATTAATAATATTAATCTTTTTTATTAATTTTTAATATCTCTTTTCTCTAACTGCTTTGAAATTTTTACACTTGTATAGTCTTATTAAACTTCTAAAAAACCTTTTAAGAGAAAATAGAAGAAGAGTGCTACAGAGTCTATAAGACATCAGCTCATTACTATAAGATTATCTCTAAAAAACTCTTTAAGAAAAATAAGAAGTCTTTAAGTAGTATTTCTTACTTAATATCTCTAATATGTAACAGAGTGATCTCTACTAGCTGTCTTATAGCTTACAATCTCTTTCTTAGTATTTTTCAAATGCTTAAGTAATTCTTATAAATTCTCTGATAATGAATAATCTTTCTATTTAATAAGATATTGAAGCTTACTGTAATATATTCACTTGTTCAATATTTTCTTCATAAGATATTCAGTATCACTCTTAATCTCAATATTATTCAGCTGAGATGACTCTGTCTCAGAGCATTGCTTATAGAGCTTTAAATAGAAAATGTGAAAAATAGAATGAATTGATTTCAATTCTGTGAGTAATTTCAACTTATATATCTGTTTACTTATCACTCTTATTACTGAGAAAGATTCTAGTCATCACTCACTGAGCTTCTTACACAGTCTCATTGTCTTGATATTCTTTGCTGAAAGTAGTACTTAATCCTCTATCAAGAACTTCATTAGAAGATGTTTTTAATTATAGTATTTTATCTACTGCTTCTGAGCACAGTGAATGCTTTTCACTGTCTTCTCATGAATTTTATTCAAAAGTTTCAATCTCACTTTTACTTCTAGTACTGAGAAATACTTCATTCTCTGTATCTATTTAACATTCTGAATGTCTATTCTCTTCTTAGAAACATCATTCACAATATTACTGAGTAATAAAGAATTATATTTATAATAAGTATAGATAGAAGATATCTTTAAGATTGCATTCTTTATATTATTATATACAAATTCAGTGATCAGAAGATGTTTAAGTCAATTATTCTAATAATATAAACAGAATACTTAAAGATGCTGTTCTAGTATCTGATTCTAGCATTTAGTCTGATCATCAGTCTGTAGATGAAATGCAGTACTGAGAAGACATCTTATTATAAGATAATAATAAAAAGCTGATCAGTATTTACTGATGAAGAGAAATTCTTGATCTGTTATTAATAATTTCAGAGCACTGTAATCATGAATAATGATATCTAAAAACAGGTCAGTTAATTCAGAGACTTTAATCTTTTTATAAGTAGAAATATATCTGATTATCTTTGTAAAGTAGTCAATAATAATCAAAATTAAGTCATATTCTTTGACTCTTATCAACTTCAGTAGATTAACTATGAAATTCATTAATAGATTCTGCTATAAGTTTTTTAAAACAGGCAGTGACATCAACTCACTGTATTACTTATATTATAGAATCTTTATTCTTTAACAGACATTATAAGTCTTAATATACTCTTTGACATCTATCTGAAGCTTGTCTCAAGTGTATTTATATTTTAGAAGCTTCTCAGTCTTCTCTAACTTAAAGTGCTCTGTATGAGAATTATTATAATGAATTCTTAATAACTTCTGACACACTGTTCTGCTACAAGAGATGAAGACTGAATCATTCAGCAGTAGAAGTTTACATTCTTCTAGTTATCAGTGACTTAATTTCTTAGTAGCACTGTCTCACTCAGAGTCTGTCTCTTTCAAGTTCAAACTGAATTCTTTCTTCTTTAACTTTTAAATTCAAGCTGCAGTAGAGATGTTTCTCTTCTATAACTCATCAATGAATTTTAAAAGTAGTCAGATTGAAAGATTGTAGATCATTTCATTCTTTATCAATTCAATGATTGTAAGATGTAACATGAGAAGCTTATGATCTTCAGTGTCAGTTCTTCACAGAGATCTGAGTTCTCTTTCATCTTCTATACTGAGTCACACAGCTGTCTCTTCAGTGTTATTTTCAAGCTTTAGAGAACTTTAACTTTCTGCAGCCAGCTTCTTCTACAGTGATGACAGAGGTTCTTTTATAAAATTCTTCTTTACATCAATGATATTATAATCAGACTGTCTAGACAGTGTATTGACAGAGTTAAGTCAATCTGAATAATATTGAATATAGAAATCATACTCTGAAAGCAGCTTCATTCACCTGACTTGACATTCTGTCAAGCTCTTTGTTATCAAGAAGTAATACAGATTTGTATAATCAGTGAGAACTTGCACTGAGTACTTACTATTCTGAAGATAATGTTATCAGATCTTAAAGAATTTAATAATTACTAATATCTTCTAATCATGAGTATCATACCTTCTCTGCATAAGTGATAACTTCTTGAAGAAGAAGGTTACTGATCTTTATTCACAGTATCTTATAGACTCTGTGAAAAAGTCTTCTCTCACAGACAATTCATTATCTGTTTCTTCAGAGATGATTATTCTCTGATTCTTTCAACATTGAAAGATCTCTGATATCAACTGTGAAAAGATTTCACAGATTTCATTCCTGAATACATCAGTCTCACACTGACTGAATAAATCAGAGTTAAAATGATTCAGTATTGTGACATCTGTAAAAGCTTATTTCAATTTCACAAATACCTGCACAGTATCTTGAGTGAGAGTAAATAGTCTCATTTTCCTGTCTTTCACACTTCTCTTCAACAGATCTGTAAGAGGAACAGTAATTCATGAATATGCATATATAAATTATCTGTAGAAATTCATAAATTCTAGAAATATCTGCATCTCACAGTACATTCACAGTACTGGTCAATTCTCAATAATGAAGACTCAGCTTCTGTTCATTGAAATGTCATTCATCTCAATAATATAATCTAAGAAATCAATCTTCTGCATGTAGAATGAGCATTTTTCAGTATTTGTATAGAGTTGATACTGTCTCAAGTAACTCATCACTTCTTGAATATGAGTATTGTGTTCTTTCTCTGTTTTTGAGAAGATTAGAATGTTATTCAGGTATACTATGCAGGAGACATTGACAAGACTCTGCAGCACCTTATTTATATAGATCTGAAAGATGACTGAAGTGTTACAAAGATTAAAAGATAAAACAAGATATTCAAAATTGCTGTACTTGATACAAAAAGTCATTTTTCAAATATTATCTTTGTTAACTCTGATTCTATGATAGACATCTTATATATTAATCTTTGAGAACATCTTTGCTTCAGATAATTGATTAATCATCTCATCAATTAACAGTAGTGAATAGTAATTCTTAACTATCATCTTATTAAGACCTCTGTAGTCTACACATAGACATAGTCTATCATTCTTCTTGAGTATAAAGAGTATAGACATCTCTGTTAAACTCTTTAATGAATGTATTCAGTTCTTTGATTGCACTTCTTCAAGATATTTGCATAGAACATTCAATTTCTTTACAGACAAGTTGTAAAGAGGCTCATACAGTGTTATTACACTGTCTTCAAGATGAATCTTATATCATATCTTAATATCAGAAAACTTCACTGCTTCTCTTTCTGAAAAGATATTTTTAAAATCTGTAAAGAGATGTCATATACATCTGTCTTCAATAATAAATACTGCTGCTAATCTTGTAGTAAGAGTGATGACTTCTTCATCTATCTTCAAGTTTCAATCATCTGCTATGCAGTATATTAACTCAATCTTTTTCTCAAGATTCTTCTGATGAAACTCTTCAGATTTCTCTATCACTGTCTCTTTATCAGTGAGACAGTATCATCACATCTGAGTGACTCAGTCAATGAGAGAATTATTTTCTCTCAATCACAGAAGATCTAGAATGATGTTCTTATCTATGATATTAACTGTATGAAGAAGCAGACTACTCTTCTTAAAGATTTCTTCTAAGTCTGTAATCACACACTTTGCTTGAATTATGTTAAAACAGTGACATTTCATTTCATCTGTAAATTTCACATGATCTGACAGATCTATCTTCTTTCAATTCTTTATTAAAGAAAAGAAATAGAATATGAAGTTAATATCTACTCTGAAGTTAAGTAGGCATCTCACTGATATCTTCTTATTCAGAGTATACATTGTAATCATAACATGAACTTGAAGATGTAAGAATTGTTAATTCTTCATTTCTTTCTCTTCTTTATCTTCTGCAG